AACTACTAATACTCTTGAACAGCTCAAACAATGCTTCTACTTCACTAACACTAACTGCAAAAGCAGAAAAACAAGAGAAAGGCAGAACAAATAAGTAAAGTAATCAGATACTCGAACGGAATCCCAATTGGAGAGCTTGGGGAAAATATAAGCACCACAACCTTTTTCTTAAATAAGTGTAAGTACCAAAACTATTTTTGAGTCACATATGTGATAACCAAATAAAACAAGACACGAAGCTGAAACTACAGCTGTCTAATGTTTTAGCTCTCCGACTTTAAGCAGTTAAAACCAAAAAAATAAAAATAAAAAACAATCAAACGGATGGTAAGTGCAAAACCAACGAACCTAAGGATAAAGCCAGCACCGAAAGATAATAGGCCAACTACCTTTTGGTTTTATTCCTCAGTACAACGCAGGAAATCTTTTAGACAGATCACGAGAAGTCCATGTTTCATTATTTATTTTTTAAACATGAAATCTCATTCAAAATTTTAAACTTTCTAAATAGGTTTTCGAGGGAGAAAAGGCGTACGATAAAGTTCCGAGGGAGGTTTTGTGGAGATNAGGCAGGTCGGAGCTTTCATCACCTATACCCCCCTTATATATGCTTAAAATTAAAAAGCCCAAGTTGCCCGAGTAGACTGTTCTACGTCAGACCATCAGAAGGACCTTTTTCTTACCAGTTCTTGGCCGAAATTACAACCCCAAAGTGCGGGTTATAACATCTATGCTTGATCGAGGCATATGGAATAATAGGTCAAGGCTCGGCACCTACGTAAGAGATCGAAGTTACAAATGTAACTGAGCTCGATATCGAGGATCGAAGTTCGAACAAGACCATCAGATTTGCCTTCGATTTTATCGGGGGCACAACCGAACCCGCTTCTAATGACCTCTAAGAAAAGTTTTGCCAACTCACACGACAAGTATCTGTGATTCTCGCCATTGACCAATCATTATAGCGAAAATTACGGGATTAAATCAAAAAGGGAGCTAACGGTCTACATAATTTCCTATAAAATAATGTCTTAAAGGTTTCATCTCCCTGTATATATAAAGGGAATGGAATAATTTATAGGGGACATGGTAACATACTTAAGAGAACAAGATATTATTTTCCAGCTTTGTTCATATTATTCTTGCTTCAATAATATCACATCTAAATTCGAAAGAAATTAACCTTGCGAGACTTAAGTTGTTCACTCTGCATGGTTTGTATTTATTTTTCTACTTATTCTTCTATATTAAATATGATTTTTTACTTTGTATCAAATTAGATCACATGTACTTAAAAACGTATATAAATTCAATTGTTATTCGATTTCTGGGGCGACAAAATCTTGCAAGCAGATATGATAAGAAATGATTATGAATCTAATTGCAAGTGTTTACTTTATTAATTATAATATAATACTAGCTCCATGTTCATGCCGTGCTCCCTCATGTATGAAGGCGTGGCGTGTGAGTTAGCAAATTAATCAGAGATGTTGTTTCATCTCAAGTGACGTGTATTATTATAGTGTTACTTTAACCACTTTAATTTGAATTGGTTAAGCTCCTTAATTTTTTTTTCCCAAGGAAAGTTAAGGCTAAATCATTAATTCATGGAGTGACAGGTGTGTCATGGATCATGAAATTAACAGTTCATTTTGGATCTGAAATGAATAATCTAACATAGGATCTGCGATGTAATCCAGCTTGTAGCATCCCGCCACGTGATTCGGCCGGTTAAAGCTTGAAATAAGAGCTGAGTTAGAAAGGGCTAATATTGTTGTTCCACAATTAATCTTTCTCTTATGGTTCTTAGTACCTCTGCGGGGAATATAATGTATATTAGAAGTATCAAAGTGACTGCATTTCAAAATATTATAGCCGGCCGGATTTATTATTTATTTATTTATTTATTTTATATATATATATGGAAAATCATGGATGTTTAGTCCAAAACGAATAATATCACACTATATTAAGAGTATCATTGGGCTGATTTAGCCCAAAAACTGATATCAGAGCCCAGATTCGGCGAGACGAGTATGGTGATGGCTGGGTAATTGTGTGCGACTCGATTTGTTTATCCTTATGAGCTTAGAGACGTGCAAACAAGAAGAAGCTAGTTGCGGACTTTGGTTGCCATAAATACTCTAACAATATTGGTGGCACACAATAAATCTCGAAAATTAACCCATGAATCATGGAAATAGGCCATGTGGCACTTTGTTTGAGGGGGACACCCGTTGATCGTGGTAGTAGGCCACATGAAACTTAGTTCGAAGAAGAAATTGTTGGGTATACAAACATGTTAAAAATATTTTTAAACTGGTTTAGTGCCACGTATAGTATACATTCGTTGACAATTTTTACTTTAAGTGTTCTTCTAAATTTTACTAAACTCATGACAACACTTAGTAGTAACTAGTAAGCATGGTTAAATAAAAGTTTGTGGAAGGTGATATTTGAACGCAAAAATATACGAAAGGGGATCTTGGGAATTAGTAGGACGGCCAGACATATGTAAACCTATTTTAAACGTTTTTCCTCCAACTTGTGTGGACCATATGAGAGAAAAAGTGAAGACAGTTACACTGCAATAGTTTGGGAAATGCAAATAAAGAAGATGACATATTGACAGGAGTTGGTTAGCCTGCCAATTGTAAATGAAGCAGCGGCAGGACAAGTGGGCGTGTTATGTTTATTGTTGGTTTTCACGTCGCTCTTTAGTCTTTACAATTATAGTAGTCGGAGGAAGTAGGAATAGAGGATAGGATCTTTATATATTTGACGATATCAAAAAAGATTCACAATCTTATGCCAAGTGTTGAAGTTTGGTTGGGCATTTTTGTGTTATTATTTTTTCTTTTTGTGGAAGACGGAAATTAATTAAGTGGAGTAATTAAATTTGCTGGCTTTGCGTCACAGGGACAGCTAGACATTTAGTTGGGCATGTACTCACGTATGTACTTGCACTTCCCAATCCTATTTGCTGATTATGATATTTCACTTCTTTATCTTTAAACGGTTTGTTAGGATAGGTTTTAGATCTCTTTTTTCCTTATCACTCAGAAAGGTTTGGAACCATTCCCCCTTTTACTATGATAACGTGGTCTTGTCTTTAGCTCACCCCTTTGTAGTAGACAATTATTTAACACGTGGCAATAGTTTTTGGGGCTATTAGTACATCTTGGCTCTGACTCTAACAGCACTGCTATTTGGTTGGCAAAACTAAATTGACACAACTTACAACTCACAAAATTATAAGTATTTAATTGTGGCGTACTGAGCATACGTGTGGAAGTTGGGTATGGTGGATTGCAGGTAGTCCATTTACTAAGCACTATGGGAAATCACTTCAGACTTAGAGAGTTAGAGACTTTAAGGAAAACAAAGAATTCTACCTGTGTTCACGTGTTGAGATAAGCAATCTTTATGCTTGTGTTACGAACTCCATTGTGTGCTTTTTTAACCCCTCCCAAAACCTCTTATTTGTTCCGTTGGTGACTTAACTCCGTAATCTTAAAATTAAAGATAGAAGATACTTACCACTTGAACAATACTTTTTTGTTGAACTATTGTAATTACTCACACATAGAGTGAATTTTGTAAGGTTATTAATCTCTCGTATTTAGAGTGTGTCTCTAACTTTCTATTTTCTCTTTAACATTTCTAAAATAATGGATTGCTTCTCCGTGCGTGGTGGATATAGGCCTACGATCAAACTACATAATTCTTTGTGTATCTTTTATTCTAATAATTCTCGTTGTTATCTTACTTATTGTCATCCATGGTTTACTTTATCAAGTTCTCTACATCAATATGGAGCACTATCATTATGTAATTGTACGTACCAGAGCGCTAGAGTTTGGAGATTCAATTACTAACGGTTAATTTGATAATAATGGAGATTTTTTATAAGGAATTTGAATGGAGAGTCATCTTCAATCTTGGCATCTCAAGATGGAGACTTTATGAATTGGATTTAGATATTTTCGCCTATTGGGTCTTCAGAGGAGGAGATGTATCAAGTTTAATATTCGACGAGTATGTGAAAAAGGGTGAATCGAATTCATTATGCAAGAAAACTTATGCATTGTTAGCTTGTGGGTTGAATTATGGTACAACTATATTTGATTTTTCTTTCAATGAAAAAGAATATAATATCTAGATATTTCACGAAATTTTTTTCTTTTTGCGGAAAAAGATTAAAAGCTCTTATTTCGTATAAGTTAAGTTTCTTCTCTCATTTGACAGCATATACAACCAGGCCTATTTAACCAGACATAGATTTCCTTATGAAGGAATAATTGTGTAATGAACCTAATTACTTGTATGACATTCAGAATAGAAAGTGAATAATGAGGTTTTTCACCATTAAAAAAGAAAAGCTTTTAGGAGAAAACTTGATTTTTCCCCAGTTTCGAAAACAAGGTAACTTCTTTTGGAAAAAATATCAAGTAAACATAAATTCAAATTTTCACATTATTTTGTGTTTGAAGGTGGGGGTGGGNGTTTCAATTGAATGAAGAGAGTTTTCTTCAACTGTATGCGCGTCACAATAATGAACAACATTTGCTTTCACGTTTCGTTATAATATACACTTGAGTGCATGTCTAATAATTCACACCATTCAAGGCTTTTTTCTTGCTTTTTCTACATGAATTTAACTTCCATTAAATCCTTCTTCTCACTCCTTGGTCAAGAGATGTTGGGACTCCCCATTATCTTCGTGATCGTCCAGTGTATTTCAGGAGAAGGTGGCACTTAATTACTCATCGTTGCACATTGGTTTTATAGATTTCTGTTGTATAGTACCAAAGTTTACAGCTAGAGATTTAGCTGTCTCTATCCCCACCAGGGGCGGATTTACAGGCAAAAATATAGGGCATGTGATCCATTTGCGAAAAGATATTTTATGTACAAATTTTCTAAAATTGATAAAATATTAACAATTGGCACTTATCACCCATGCTGCAAAAGAGGTGAATGATGCACTTGGTTGAAGATTGATCTAATTACCAAGAGAAATATTGGGTCAATTCTCACTTTGTACATTTTTTTAGTCATTTTTTTTAAGTAGTACACCCGTTTAATAGAAATTCTAGATGTCAGTTAGAAAAAAGGCTGTCATTGTTCCACGAGCTACCTCTCTTTCTTCTAGCTATTCACCTCTTCTTCTAAGTGTAATCCAACTCTGATCGTCCCATCTCCAGTTCGGCTCTCCTGAATTCAAACCCAATTCTCTTACCCTTTTTAGAGCAGAATCCATTGAGCTAACTGTTTGTATTGAGCAAAAGTCCATGGTTTCTGTTTCCTCCACTGAATTCCAAATGTCTTGCTCAAGAATGCTCGTTGGGGAGCTTGTGACAAAATCTTGATTTGCCTTAGAATTTGAATGGGATAATTCCTCAAGAAATGGATGTTTGAGTAGCTCTTTAGCCGTCCATCTTTCTCTTGGATCTTTTCTGAAGCATTTGCTTAAGAAATCCTTTGCTTGTAAAGACAGAAACTTTGGAATTTGTGGGGATTGCCCTGAAAATGCAATTTTGTAAACCAATGAAGCTGAATTAGCCACATTAGTCCAAGGTGATCCACCAGTGGCCATTTCAATAATTGTACATCCTAATGCCCATATATCAGCTGCAAACCCCTGTTTTACCCCACGCGCCACCTCTGGTGCCATGTACATCGGCGTGCCACCAATTGGCTCGGAGGAAACAGCCGCTGTGCCACCGTCCCTCTCTGCCGGATCAACACACCTAGCACAACCAAAGTCGGCAATTTTGGCACCGGTGTTACCTAACAAAATGTTCTGTCCCTTAATGTCACAGTGTACTGTGCCTCTTGAATGTAGGTACTCTAATCCAAGCAAAATTTGCTTGGTGTAATACCCGATCAATTGCTCCTTGATCCGACCACCCTGTTTTCGAATTTCATCGGTTATTGTACCGTCCGACATGTATTCCATCATAAGATTAAACATGAATTTGTCGTTCTCTTTTGTAACATCGTAACCCTTGTAGCTAACTATATAAGGGGAGCTCAACTCGGACAGAATTGTCTTCTCTTTTTGCAAGAACTGCGATTGCGATATCTCCACTGACTTGACAGCAAAAACCTCATCGGAACATCGTGACTTGGCAACGGAGACAGCGGCGGAGGAGCCGTGGCCGATAATATGCCCTCTGGTCCAATCCATTTTAAAAGAAGAAGAAATAAGATTGGTAGGCAGTGTATGAATTTTTAGAAAGTGTTCTGTTTTTGGTTTGTTAGAAGCGGCAACAGAGTTATATATAACTAATTTCTAAATTTATTGTGCAAAATCTGATTTGGATGAAGTTTGGTTTGAAGATGAAAATGTATTTGGACATCAGTTTTCAAAACATATTTCTCAAATTTATTTTGGAAAAACATGAAACATGAATTATACCACAAGTTCTAAAAACTATCACAAATACCCAACAGTACCATTATCAATAACATTCATTATATTATCGCAAACCATTGTCCTGAACATAAATAAATTTGATACAAAATTATCATTTTTATAATTAACTATATGATACACTCTCAGGTGACCGAGAAGACGAAGCAACATTATTACAAAATAATAAATGGTGAACTCTTTTATAAAATACAAAAGTTTGGGACAATTTTAAAAAATGTAATAGTGATATTTTGGCCCAAAACCAGCTATTGAACTGGTTTTGGAATTTGTGATTTAAAATTTTGCCAAAATATAGGTAACATCTATGACCAAACATGTGTTTGCCAAATAAAACTCAAATTTAATTTGAAAAAATCTATGGCGGATCCATATAATATGGTGAACGTCCAAAACTCCAAATTAGTTGGTAGAGCTTAGGTGGCTCTCTATTCTCTTTAGAAGTTTGACGATTGCTTTAACGGAAATTCACAACGTGGCCAAATGGTTGTGGCTATACGGCAGTTTGAGTAGGCTGGAGAATTCACAAGGTTTGCTATATCGAAATGAGTTATATAGCCAGGGGTCATGTTAGTTAATTGTTCATAAAAAGTAGAATTCGTATGTTAAAAAAATAAGACGGGTTACGATTATATCAACAATAACAACCCAGTATAATCTCATTAATGGAGTCTAGAGAGGGTAGTGTGTGCGCAGACCTTATCCCGGGAGGGTAGTGTGTACGCAGACTTTACCCCTACCCTGGAGTAGAGAGGCTGTTTCCGATAGATCCTCGGATCCCTCCTTCCAAGAACTCTCACCTTGCTCTTGGGGCAACTCGAACTCACAACCTCTTAGTTGGAAGTGGAGGGTGCTCACCACTAGAGCAACTCACTATTATATAGATTTAATTACATGAGTATTGTAATAATTTTTACATTGTCAGTCAAATTAAATGGGTAAATTTAATTCTTATCATTTATGTTTTAGTAAGAAGTTGGATGCGGTAGATTGGATTATGATCCTTTATTTTGTATGGAGTGTAAAGATTTTGAAGATTAAATTTGGGAGACAGGGAAGGTGTTTGGTAAGTATCTTTTCAAGAGAGTAGTTTGAACAACCAAAATGGATTACGAGTATTGAATTCTTTGTATATTCCAATTTTTTATGGGCATTGACTCCAATTGGAATTTGAAGTCAGCAAAGTTTTCACATGTTTATCCATTAAATTATGAGTAAACTTTACCATAGATTTTAAACTTCCTGGAAGCGGACAAGCATAAGGTCAATCAAAATAAAAAAAATATCTCCCAGATAGTTTAGTCTTTCAACAAGAGACAGTTTTATCATATTAAAAGATGAATTCCGAAAGAAAAAATACTTCTAAAAGATGAAACTTTCCAAATTTTTCAGGTTGGTTTTTCTTTTTTCTTTTTAAAAGGAAAACTTAAATCAACGCCTAACAAGTACTAGTTTGAAGAGAATAAGATAGCCTTTGGAGATAAATTTGATTGAAACTTTAAAAAAGAGTTTTTGAAGTTGTGTTTGGACATATATTTTATTTGAATAAAAGTTAAAGTTTTATGAGTGGAAGAAAACATTTCACTCAAAAACTGCCTTAAAATAATTTTTGAAAATTTTTGAATTTTTTTTTCCCAAAACATGATCTTACTTCATAAACAAACATTATTTTCAAAAAAAAATTAAAAAAAATAAAAACAAAATCTATGGCCGATCAAGGTTCAGGACTACTAAACACGATACAAAGGCAAAAGCATGATTAGGAAGTGCAAGTACATACGTGAGTACATGCCCAACTAAATGTCTAGCTGTCCCTGTGACGCAAAGCCAGCAAATTTAATTACTCCACTTAATTAATTCCGACTTCCACAATTACCCCAACCAAAATTCAACACTTGGCATAAGACTGTGAATCTTTTGTGATCACTTCAAATATATAAAGATCATATCCTCTATTCCTCGACTACTATAATTGTAAAGACTAAAGAGCGACGTGAAAGCCAACAATAAACATAACACGACTACGATTTGGCAGGCTAACCAACTCCTGTCTATATATCATCTTCCTAATTTGCATTTTCCCAAACTCATAACTTCTTTGTTCTCTTTCTTACTGGTTCACACAAGTTGGAGAAAAACCCGTTTAAAATGAGTTTACATGTTTGATACTGATAGTCTCATACGATGTCCGGTATTCGTTTTAGGCTTCATGAATTCAATTTTGTGCCAAAAAATCTCACTTTGAGGGTAAAACGTTCCTTAACATTAGGTGACTCAATTTCTAGAATACGAGTCGAGACTTCTTATTAAAAATAAAGAAGTACTTACCAGTTACCAATCCCCTATAACATATGATATATGGCCTCTATATATTTTTGCGTTCAAATGTCACACCTCCACAAAATTTAATCGGCTTTAATTTACTGCCAAATGTTTTCAGTTTAATTTAGCCACCTAGGATTTTCAAATGAAGTTACTTTGGTGAATCTAATACTCATTCCTTTAAGTAAAACTGAAAGTCAAAAAGATTTTTTTTTTTGGAGAAATTGGTTTTTGACCTTACTTTTGAACCCCTTTTTAAAAAAACTTTTGAACTTCAGACTTTCGAGAACTTCGAGATTTAAAAAATGCCTAATTTGCCTTGAAAGACAATCTATATATCTGGTACTGTTATAAGTTTATTTAAGAAAAAAAGAAATCAGTTGCCCCTTTTTCTTTTGTTCTCTTTCACAAAAGTTAGAACCATAAGTAGATGCGGATCAAAATTTAAGTTTTATGGGTTCAAACACATTATATTTTTAAACTTATGAGTTCATATCTACTATTTCTTGCAATTTTAGTAAATCTTTACACTTAAATTTATATGCACGTCAAAAGTATTGAATTCAAATAAACCCTGGTTCTTTCAAGTTACATTCCTGCCATCTGACCATAAGAGAAGAAATTAAATATGGAGCAACAATTTGGTGGCCCTTTCTAATCTGATCTGTATTTTTCTAGATTTAACAGGTACCATATGGCATAAGATTATATGTTAGATGACATCGCATATCTTATGGTAGACAATTAATTTCAGATCCATTTAATTTCGGAATACATAAAACACCTGTCATTCGATGAATGATTTAACCTTGATCCAACTTTCCTAACTAAGAAAACAAGGAGCTTAACTAATTCAAATTAAAGTGCTTAAATTGATATACTATAGTAAACACGTGACTTTAGTTTCATAACATTTTCTAACATCTGCTAGCTAGAAGTAGATTCTATAGCGTGTATATATCTAGCTAATCTAATAATTAAGTTTTAATACTGGTATTGTGTCATACGTCATGAGGCTCATGTGATGAGGTAATCATTTGATTTTTGGCTTTTACTTTACAATTAATTAACCCCACTTATTGTGTTACTTAATGACGTTTTTTAAAGAGTCAAATTCGTAACTATTTGGTGAAATTTGTTACAACTGCTTTCACACCTTTTGACCTTTTTTTATTCTCTTTAAAAAGAATGGGCTTTTATTACTCTTTGGAATTCCCTTTTTTTAATGTTTAATAAACGTTCTTTATTGTTGTCAAATATTGAATTAATGTCATATTTGTTGAAAAATGCGTGTACCGCAGTACAATTACAATATTAGAGTGGAATTTAGCTGCAGTTGGTGGGTGCATTCAACTGAAGTTAACTTACAACTTTGAGAACCGACAAATAAAAATTAATACTAAATTATATTCGTAGTTTGGCATCGAAACAGTCTGAATTCAAGTAAACTATAATGCGAGACCCCAAAAGGGCATGCATAGGCGGAATCATGATTCGAAATTTATTAGATCGGGATTCTAAATTTTTTAAATTACTGAATTTTAAATTAATAATTTAAATATATTTAATAAATTTATTAAAATAAATAAATAATTTGAATCAAAGTTACTGTATTCGTAGCACAAGATAAGTTTTACTCTTCCTACGCCACTTTTTGGGGTAGCCGGTAGGACAGCACTGTTATTTTGGCAAAACCAAAAAATTGACACAACTTACAAGTGGTGAAATTATATTTAATTTTGCAAGAGATACGTGTTGATTGTGGAAGTTGAATATGGTAAGATTGGATTTGATTATATATCGTGATTTGGTATACAAAATTTGTCGACGTATAGGTTGCCTTATTTTTTTTGTGCCTTTTCTTATTAGGTATTTCCCCAAAAAATGGACTTTGAATTTGGTCAACGTTTGACATGCAATTATCCACTTTTCTTTCATATGTGAAATATATTTGACAGTTCACAAATTCATTTTTTCAATAGAAGGATTTGGACTAAGAATAGTTTTTGATAAAATAAGGAACTTAATTGCTTCGCTACTTGAAATTTTTTAAAGAAAAAGTTTATGATGAAGCGGTTTCTTGATTAATTGCTGATAAAGGAATTTATGTTTTAGGAAACAATCATTTTAATATATCTCAGCTTTCAAGTAAGATGATTTTTTGAGTCTCTGACGTTATTTACTTATCTCTTTGTTCCTTTTTTGTCACATCTAGAAAAAGATGCAGCCACTTTACTTTTATATTGAAGGAATAATCATCATATATTGCTTCTTGAGAGATAGGAAATCCTTCGAAAATTCAAATTTCTCACCACCTTTTCTGAAAGTTTGTTACCATTACTAAATCCAAACGAGAAGAACTTAAACCAGCAAGATAATTGCGGATCATCATGAGAAATGTGGGCACAATATACAATTATATTGTATTGAGTTGTGTTTATTTTGGTTTCTCACTCGGTGTCCGGTACCTGCATTGGAGCCCGACTATACCTGATTTGTGCCGCAGAGGACTCATTCGTGGGGAAGCGCTCCCTACCAAGAATTTTTCCATATCGAAAGTTCGAACCCGAGACCTTTGGTTAAGGGAAGAGTAGCTTCATTCGTTGCACCGCATCTTTTGATGGTTGTTGGGTTGTGTGTTAGATGAGAATATATCGATTTTTTTTATTTTACGTCTACACAATTACCTCTTCGCATCTGATATTTATCTTTAGGAAGCACGAGAAAATATTTTGTTAAAATTTTATCAAGTGGTGATAATGCAATTCAAATGATAAGTGAATGGTTATGAAAGTTGCAATTGATTGCACCAAATTAATACTAGCACTTATCACTCCTATCTATACAAACATAATAGGCCGAATAGGTGGAGTTTAGTTGCATAAAGTGCAAGCCAATATTTTTTACTCTGAGTTATCATATTAATACCGAAGTCTTCGAGCTGAAGTGTACTCATGTCACATGTGTGCACACAAGCATGGCTAAAAACAGAGCATAAGAATATAATATGCATAGTAAAAGGACGGAATATTCATTAATTTTAATGAAAGGAGAACATAAATAGTAGTACCATTGTTACACAACCATTCACAAATCAAAACAACTTTAAAGTACCGGCCACAAAAACAACAAAACAAAAAGGGACCAAGGTAGGACAAACAGCATTTCACTAGACACTAGGAAGGGAACTGTTTTAAGCAGCACTAGAAGGGGGAGGCAGGGATGAAGAGGCAAGAGTTATGAGGAGAATATCCATTCGAGCATTTGCAGACACTTGCTCGTTAAGCAGCCGCTCCTTCAGGTCCTCGACATGTTTCCTAAGATCAGCATTTTCCTTGGTCAGACGGGCAACCTCTGTGCCTTGTGCACTGCTGGAACCAGGTGCCTCCTGAGCCTGACTAAGCTGCCCTTCAAGAATGACATTTTGTGTCTTCAACCTCCTTATTTCCTCAATTGCAGCATTCTGAGCATCTATCAATTGAGAGATAGTGGAATTGCTGCCAACCCCTCCTTTCTTATCAGTGCACTCACATTCCTCCAAGGTGGTTTTTGAGAAGGTCTGCTTGCGAGTTTCCACTATTGCTTTTTCCGAAAGGGACTTTGAAGAAGTTGAATACCTTAGTGAGTAAGAACCCGTAGGGCAACCCATGATTACCATCGTTAAAGCCTGCCACTTTCTTCATATGCTCGATCATGAGGCATGGCAGATTGATAGTAGTGTAGGCATCCAGTGCTTCCATGAGGAATAGGTCTGCTTTTGACGTAATAGAATGCCTTTCTACACATAGAAGCAAGACTTTGTTCACCATCTCGAACATCAATTGATACATTGGAAGGAGGCTCTTCTTGTGCACCCATTCCCCTTGCTACACATCATCATCCTTCAGAATGGCACTTCTGAAATTGGGAGAACAAGTCCCCTCAATGGATGAGATCCCTTCAGTAGGCACTCCTAAAATGTTCCCCAATACAGCCTCGTCCATCACAAAGTCTACTTCGTTCGCCTACAAGCAGATGTTATCATCTTCCACTGTGAACATGTCTGCGTAGAAGCTACTCACTTCTTCCTCATACACCTTGGGACTCTCATTAGTGAATAGGTGTGTCCACTTTTGAAACTTATAAATATCAACCAGTTGACGCATCCCTTTTATGTCAAGAATATTAGGGGTAAATGTTCTGCCCTACAAATACCCTCTGTTTTCTCAGATTTTCTCTGCTTTCATCCTTAGCCACACTTACTTTGGCCTTCTTGGAGGAACCGGGTTCTTCGTTGTCACCAACCTTTCTTTTCACAAACTTTCTCACACTTTTCTCTTTCTTTGCAGACTTCTCAAACAATTTCTCACCAGACTTCTCAGACACCTTTTCACCAGACTTGTCCACCTCAACATTTTTCACTTCCACAACTTTCATAGATGGCTCTCTCCTAGGTTTTGGAATCACATATTTCTTAGAGGACTTACAAATTAAGGAAGCAGGTTCCTCATTCACCTCTTCATCGTCAACATCAACAAGAAGTGCTGGAGGCACTTCTTCCTCATTTACCAGTTTTTCCCCTTTCACCAGCCTAATCCTTTTCTTCTCCTTTTTGTTTTTCTTCAGAACAGATTCAAGGGCTTCCTTTTTTTGCAGCCTAATAGTAGGTCTTTTAGGAGTGGGCTCTTTGGGAACTTCACTCATATTCCTAGCCATAAAGAAGCTTGCAACATATGCATTGTCATAGTCTTCTTCACTGTTTTTATTTTCTTCCTCAGAAAGAGATCTCATCTCAGGAAAGGCGATGTTTAACGGCTCAGCATCGAAGTGAGGAGAGGGAGCAGGATCAGTACTGACCTGGGGCTCTTTTGAAGAGCAGGGAGTTTCATCCCAAGTAGGAACAGGGGCTTTTCTTGAGCTGAGGAATTAGGTCCCTCATTTGTTTCCCCCGCAGTACTATTAGGTGCCAGATTTTCAAGGGGTACCAGTTCCCTACCCTCTTCCTGATGACCTTCACCTTCCCCCTGAGACCCAAAGTTCTCATTAACACCCTCATAACCACCAACCAAACCTCCTTCTATAGCGATTAACAACATGTTCTCAATGGCTTCTTATTCATTTACCCCCAAAGTAGAGTCAGAGGGTACAAGAGGAATATTATCTGTAGGGTTGGCAATATTCAAATCGAAGCATGGAATAGGCGTTGCTGACTCTTTACTACAACGAACCATATCCTGTTAGGTTTCAGCACTCTCCCCAGCCTTCTGACTAGAAACTTCTTGACCTTCATCTCCGTCTAGTGTTTCACCTTCTGCCATTTTTTCAGGCGAGGAAGAAGGAGAGGTCGTATCAACAAATCATTTGGGGTTCTGAGTCTTGCGAATGCGGTGAGATCCAGAACTCGATTGGGTTAGAGAGGGAGTAGTAGGTGGTTAATGTTCTGGTGTGGGGTTTGGACTGGGTGACATAGAGGACTCCGCGAGGACACAATGGGGATTACACTAGAGACGTTTAAAACTTCTGGATTTTGAGACATAGTAGAGATTTGTAGTGAGGATGCAAAAAGAAAGGTATTTGCTTTGAGAGAGAGAAGGAAATTTTTGGCTTTGATGTGGATAGTGAGGAAAGAGATAGCTTTTGGGGTTATTTAAGGGAAGTGGGGGACCGGTTACAAACGGGTACAAATCACCGGGTAGAAGGATCGTTTAGTAACGGGTGTGACGTTTGAGTTCTAAGAGATGAGAGAGAGAGAGAGAGAGAGATTGAAACTTTTAATGACGTGGCACTTTTATAGCCGTTTAAAAATACGCATGAGAATACAAAGGAACTACTAACCTGTGTCAAGGGAACCAGGTTCCTTGACTTAGTTTTGTAAATGTAAGCCTCGTTATTTTACCAAGATGCAATGTCATTAGCTACTTATTTGCTATGTAGTTTCCATGCGTGTCTACCTGTAACGGTATAGAGATGAGTTAGAACTTGCCAGAAAACACTTTTAGCTATTTTTACCTGTTTATTCTTTCATAGTCAATTATTGAGGGACCTGGTGCTCAGTTCAATTTTATCAACCTCAATGCCAATCGATTATTTTCAAAGTGCTCTCTGCTCAGTGCTTTGGTGAAGATATCTGCTACTTGGTCTTCTGTTTTGCATAACTTTATGCAGATAAGACCCTTTTCAACATTGTCTCTGAGAAAAGGATGTCGTACATCAATGTGCTTTGTTCTCTTATGCTGAACCGGGTTCTTTGCCATATTGAGAGCACTGGTATTATCACACAGTAATGGTACAAAATCAGAAAATACACCAAAGTCCTCCAGGTGTTGCTTGATCCACAGCAGTTGAGCACAACAAGAGGCAACTGCCACATACTAAGCTTCTGCAGTTGAAAGAGCTACAAAGTTTTGTTTCTTTGTACCCCATGAAATCAAACATGATACCAGAAAATGTGCCATTCCAGATGTACTTTTTCTATCCACCAGATAACCAGTATAATCAGCATAAGCATTCCCAATTAAGTCAAAATTATCCCCTGAAGGATAGTAGAGAACCAGGTCATGTGTTCCTATAAGATACCTTAGAATCCTCTTTATAACTTTGAGATGAGATTCCTTTGGACTGAATTGAAATCTAGCACATAATCCCACACTGAATACAATATCAGGCCTACTAGTTGTGAGATACAAGAGTGAACCAATCATGCCTCTGTACATGGTTTCGTTCACAGGAGAACCAGGTTCATCCAAGTCCAAACGGGTGGCAGTGGAAATAGGAGTATCAATAGTTTTTGAACTTTCCATATCAAATCTCTTCAGGAGCTCCTTAATGTACTTCTGCTGGCTTATCATCATTCCCTTAGGGGCTTGCTTAACTTGCAACCCTAAGAAAAAATTCAATTCCCCCATCACGCTCATTTCAAACTCGCTTCCCATAAGCTTTGCAAACTCCTCACACAAGGAGTCGTTTGTTGCACCAAAAATGATATCGTCAAATAAACTTGCACAATGAGCAGGTTCCTTCCCTGTTTTTTCAGAAATAGGATTTTGTAAATTCTTCCTCTTGTAAAGCTATTTTCAAGAAGAAACTTGGACAACCTTTCATACCATGCACGAGGGGCCTGCTTCAGTCCATATAATGTCTTTTCAAATTTGAATATATGTACAGGATTCTCATAAAACGAAAACCCAAGTGGTTGTTTGACGAAGACTTCGTCCTTTAATATCCATTCAAAAATGCACTTTTGACATCCATTTGGAATAATTTGAATTCCATATGAGATGCAAAAGCAATAAGGATTCTGATGGCTTCCATACGAGCAACTGGAGCAAAGGCTTCATCATAGTCGATCCTTTCTTCTTGATTGTAGATTTGAAACACTAACCTGACCTCGTTCCTTGTTGTATTTCCAAATTCATCAAGTTTTTTTCTAAACACCCACCCGGTTCCTATGACCATTCTATCTAAGGGTCGAGAGACTAAGTGCCATACATGGTTCCTCTCAAGTTGATGAAGTTCATCTTGTATAACAGTAATCCAGTCAGCATCTTTCAATGCTTCATTGATATTTTTAGGCTCAATTTGAGAAAGGGAAGCTGAGAAAGCAAACGCGTTTCTTGACTTTGATTGTTTGAATTCCTGAATCAAGAGCAGTGACCACATTTTGGAGAGGATGTGAACTTTTGTGCTTCCAGTTAGACACCTGAATCTTATTGTGGGAAGATCCAGGTTCCTCAGAGTAGAATCCATTATTGACATATGTGGATGATTGAGTACCACTTCTCTATTCAGTATTAGGAGTTCCTTGCACGACATCAACAACTCTATCCTCTGCTTCAGTTGCTGTGATGGAGGAACCGGGTTCTTCTACATCAGCTGAGGGTTCTGTTGGATTTTCTTCGTTGAATTCCTTGACTTGGCTCATCAATTTTGCCTTTCCATTTGCTATATCAATGACTTCTCCAGGAACCTTCGACTGCTCTCTGTCTTGATCAATCTTATCATGTGAATTTTTTTCACATAGGTCGTGTGATTCATCAAAGACAACATGTATACTTTCTTCAACACATTGAGTCCTCTTGTTATAGACCTTGTATGCTTTGCTTTGTGAGGAGTATCCATGAAATATTCCTTCATCACTTTTGGTCAAATTTTCCCAAAACTTCCTTACCATTATTGAGAACGAAGCATTTGCATCCAAACGTTCTTAGGTGAGTTAGCTTGGGCTTCCTTCCATTCAAAAGTTCATATGGAGTTTTATTTAGGAGGGACTTGATCATGCACCTGTTCCCCAAGTAGCAAGCAGTGTTTACTGCCTCTGCCCAGAAGCCTTTTGCTATGCCACTGTCAATTAGCATAGTTCTTGCCATGTCTTCAAGAGTCCTATTTTTCCTCTCCACAATACCATTTTGTTGGAGTGTTCTGGTAGCTGAAAAATTGTGACTTATGTCATTTTCAGCACAAAATTAGTCGAATTTTGCATTGTCGAACTCTGTGCCATGATTAGGGATGTGCATGGATCAGATCGGATTTAGCACATTTTGGATTCGGATTTCGGATTTCGGATGCTACAAAATACAATCCGAATCTGATCCGAATTAATATCGGATCGGATCGAATTTTAAAGTTTGGATCAGATCGAATTTTCGGATTTCGGATCGGATTATTATGCCTTAAAGTTGCAAACGCATATANCAATTGTGATAGTGCTATGGTGTCGATATAGCTAAATCCAACAATTATAAAGGTAATAACTTGGAGGAAGATGTAAAAGAAGTAATGACTATCCGAAATTAAAGTTTAATATTTATACATGCCCTAATAATTTTGAATTTCGGATCAGATCCGGTTACAATTATACCAATCCAAATATCCAAAATTTTAATAAACACAATCCGAAATCCGATCCAAATATCCGAAATTCAAAATTCGAAATTGAGCGGATCGGTTCGGATTTCGGACATTATGGCTCATCTTTATATGAATCTGCTTCACAAATGCAACAAAAACTGGAAAGGTTTCATCCTTGGTTCTGAGAAACAAGGTCCATGTGAATCTCGAGTAGTCATCAACTATGACAAAGATGTACTTTTTTCCTCCTTTTCTGGGCACCCTCATAGGTCCACACAGATCCATATGGAGGAGATCAAGTGGCCTTGAGGTGCTTACTTCATTCTTCGGCTTAAAAGAAGACCTGACTTGCTTTCTTCTTACACAAGCATCACACACCTTGTGACCTTTGAACCTTGACTTGGGCAACCCACGGACCAGGTCCTTCTTGACCAGCTTGTTCAGCAATGAAAATTTTGCATGTCCCAATCTTCTATGACACAGCTCAGCATCATCATCAACAACACTCAGACATGTAAGATCCACATTGTGCAAGGACTCAAAATCATAAACATAGATATTTTTGTATCTTTTTACCAATAGAACCACTTCACCAGTCACGAGATTTGTGACTGTGCAGCTTTTTGATAAAAATTCTACTTTGTTTCCTTTGTCGCAGATTTGAGAGACACTCAATAGGTTATATTTCAAGCCATTCACATAGTACACACTCTCAATTGAGTGAGTGAACGTCTTCCCAATTCTTCATACTCCTAGAATGTATCCCTTTTTGCCATTGCCAAAGGACACACTCCCTCCTTGCAGAGCTTTGAGTGAAAGAAAATCATCGATGCTTCCAGTCATATGCTTAGAGCAGCCACTATCCATATACCACTTCTGGCTGCTTCCTTTCACTGCTCCATGCACAAGAAAATCAAGGATTAGACTTAGTAACCCAAACAAGTTTGGGTTCCTTGTAGTGAGAAAAAGGGAGAATTAAACTTCTTTTTGTCCAAGCAGGCAATACACGTTTTTTAATGGAGGAACCAGGTTCCTTAGCAGTAGTTACTGTAAGCACGTAATTTTTGACCCGCGCAATTTTTAAAAGTAGTATTTTTAAAAAAATATATACTTATTTTTATTTTAATAGGATTTCAGTCAACTTTTAGTTTTAATTTTAAAACATAAGTTTAAAAATACAAAATAAGTTTTATAATATTTCTTTATATATATATATATATATATATATATATTAGTTTATTAGTATTTTATAATATTTATAACATTTAAAAAATACTAAAAATATTTTTATTTTAATATATAGTTCACTTTAATAGTTTATTCTTATTAACTAAGATTAATTTGTATATTTTGGCAGTATTTTTATTTTTTATTTTTATTTTATTTTATTCAATGGGAAAGAATTGAATTTGGGACAACTGGAAGCTCATTTTCGGATTTTAGTGGCCCAGCAAGACAAATGTCCATTCTTCCCAATCCCTTTTAGTCCAAATCATTTTCTCATCTATCCAACCCCCCCTCCCCCCCCCCCAAATCATAGCTATTGATCTACTTTCATCCAATGGCCTATTCTCCAATCCCTTTTATATAAAAGCTTAATCTTCCCACAAACCCTAGGAGAGAACCTTAGAATTTCCAACAGCCACCCTCTTAAGAGAGTGTCATCATCTCTTTGAACCAAAAGGGCAGAGGACCTAGCCCAAAAAAGAACTCTAGAACGCACACACACTGCAAAGGGGGAAAAACAGAGAGAGATCTGAGGGAACACACGAAAAGAAAAACGTAGCTGCTCTCTTCTTCTTCCCCACCATACATTCATCCTCTTCCTCTAAACCTCCATAAAAATCGGCCATCTTCTCCACCACTTAAAACACCCTTAAAACCCATGAAGAACTCCATGGAAACCGGTGACTAGAGCTCCAAAAATACCCTTAAAGGACCTCCAAACAACAGCTCCTTTCTCCTCCTCAAACCCAGCTGATTTTTCATCAATTTTCAGCTATAAAAATCAGCCAAAAAACTCCTTTAAACATCACCTTAGAGCAGTCCCGTTTGTACATAAACAACAGCTCCAAGGTCGAGTTCAAGTCCGCCAGAGAGTTTAGGTTCGAGCAAGCTTCGGTCTTGGTTTGTGATTCCCGAACAAATTTTGTTGATACGATTGTTGTAGAGACTTTGTACCGATTTTGACATTGGAGAATAGATTGGTTGAAGTTCTCTTAAAAAAGGTCCATTCCTATTTCTATATTGCCTTTTTTGCTTTAGTCGTTTTCTCTTTTCAATTAAATGTTCTATTGCTCTTGACATGTTTGGTCAGTCCCATGTGATCATTCTGCTGCCTTGATTTATTTGTTTCATCATCTTTTCTTAAGTTTAATTTAGTTGCTATCTCTGTTTGATTAACTATGGAGATCAAATAAATGATATTGTTAATTAAAATTTGAATTAGTCATGAATTGTAAGAATAATGGCTCATCTGTTAAATGGGCAGTATGGGGGGCCGATTAAGAACATTAAATTTGGGCTTTAGCGTTTATTTAGGCAATGGTAGTAACTAATAGTTTCAACAAAAGGATTTAGACCACAATTTTATGTTAATGGATTTTAAGGTAGTAAACCATCTAACTTTGAGTGGGCCGCTTGGTTTGGAACTAAATGGGCTGCCAGTCAACCTTTAGACATAACGACTACTTGATCTCCATTTGAATCTTGCTAGCCTTTACTTAATTGCAATGTTAATTTACTAGTCAAGTACTCAATAATTTGGCTCATTTCTAATTAGAATAAGCAACTAATAAACATTCGTAGCTTGCTTTAGGCGCGATTAATAAATCATCGCGGCTATGGGTATAGTTCCCGTGGCATAGTCATGATACGTAACCCCAATTCGAGTGTGCATTTCATGCGACTCGACCTTACAACTTCAAATCAATTAATAAAAATAAATATGTTGTAGCGGGTGCGTTTCACGTGACGCGATTCGCAATATGTACAAAAACAAACGAGTGCGCGTCATCGCGACTTGTTTAAATAAATCTCATAAATATTAAAAGCGGTCAAATAATTAAAAGCGGTTAGAAAGTAAAAATGCACAATAGGTTCTTAACATGTAATAATTCAGATAATTATGCCAATTATTACAGTTGAACGACCGTGCTAAAACTGCGGAACTCGGGAGTGCCTCACACCTTCTCCCAGGTTAACAGAATTTTTTACTCGGTCTTCTATGTTCGCAGACTATAAATAAGAGTCAATTTCCTTGATTTGAGATTTAAAATAAACTGGTGACTTGGGACACCATAAATTATTCCAAGTGGCGACTCTGATTAGATAAATAATCCCATTTCGATTATGTCACTTAAATTGGGAAAACTCCCTTATCCCCTGGGAAAAAAGGAGGTGTGACAGCTCTGGCGACTCTTCTGGGGAACGAACCCAGAATCTCTGGTTCAGGGTTCAGAATTTGAGCTTAGAATAATTGTTATGCTTGGCTTTTGTTTATTCTCTGATTTTTTTTTACGTGTTTGAGCCTAATGTTCTAAATGTCGCTTTTTACCGCTTTGATATTGCTTGAACTATATATAAAACTGTTACGAAATCCTTCTACTCTCTGAGTATTCTAAATCTTCTAGGAAGTGCACGCTGGCGTGACTTCTTTTCTGTTAGTGTCATACCCTAATTTAAAACGAGGATCGGATCAGTTACAAAGCCGGATGGCCTTTTGGTTCCCGGTATGTTGCCCCTCATCGGCTCGAGTTGTCCGCTCGGGTAAACCAGGTCTAGAACAATACACCTAGGATTTAAACTTAGAATGACATAACCTCATGTCGGATCCCTAGTAGGTACGTTTGTTTTCATCACGTGCATTTGGCTTTGAGGACTCAACACAGGGGTTGGGT